TTTTTTTTTTTTTTTTGTAGCAGGGATGGAACTCAAGTCCTTGTGCTTACAAGGCAGGCAGCAGAACCACTGAGCTAAATCCCTGGCCTAGAAGTTGCTTTCAAAGTGGTGGTTACAATTATCAATTATGGTAGGATTTTAGTATATATTTAACTCTGCTGCTAAACTTATTGATATTGTTGGAAACTGATATACAACATTTCTCTTCATAAGACAGAAAAATGCTACTTTCACCTTGGGAAAAAAACTCAGGACCTTGCACTTGCGAGACAGGCAGCAGGAAAAATTATGTTCTTTGCCAGGTAACTACTGCCAGAAATCTAGATTACAGAAATTATTGTAAATATGGTCAGATATTTAAAAACAATAAAAAAAGGAAATAGCCAAAACATTCTCCAACTAGGGTGCACCTTAAAAAAAAAAAACCCTACTTACTTCCCATAATGTTCACAAGAACAAAATACCTTAAGGAAATGCCTACAATCTACTGAGTAAAACAGTGAGAGAGTATTTCATATACTCCCTTTTTTTTCTTTAGACAGTGTCTCGCTATGTAGTTCAGGATGTCCTTGAATTCACTACATAGCCCAACTCAAACTCCAAGTGATCCTCCTGCCTCAGCCTCTTGAGTCCTGGGATTACAGGCATGCGCCACCACGCCCAGCTAATCATATAGTCTTATATATGATCCTAATTTTGACCAAAAAGTTTGTATCTAAATTTTTATATAACAAATAGTAAGCACTCTGATGTATTATATACTAAACTGGTCAGCTACAGAGGACTATTTTCCTCCTTATATATTCTTGTAACTTTTCATCATAAAAGGAGGAAGGTCTAGGACTTTGGTGTATCAGCTGGAAGAGTCTCATGCTGCCTTGACCCACCTGACAAAGCACAATCCCTTCCAGGACCAGCACTTTTCCTCATCACACACAAAGTCCCAGGCCTCTAAATGGGTTTGTATGAATCACAGATCTCAGATGGAGGGCGAGAGTGAGGCAAACTCAAGACAGTGCCAGAGTAGATATTTCAGAACAGGGAGGTATTCAGAGAGCTGTACGTCCATACCTGCATAGCCACTGGAAAATCAGTCTGTGCCTCTGGAGGGAAAAACACATCCACAGTTTTCTTTACAAAAGGCTGGTTTCCTGCCGCAGGCTGTCCAACTTCGATTATGTGCAACTAGAAGAGAGGTTTTAGGCCAGTCCAAGTTAATGCTCTGCTGGCAGGCAGGTGCTAACCAAGGAACAGTGGTTAAGTACAGTGGCCTCAGTTCTAAGCTCTGTATGACAAAAACTAAAACTTACATTCAAATAAAATAAACCGGGAGTGTTGGCTCACACCTGTAGTCTCAGCACTGGGGAGGCTGAGGCAGGAGGATTCTGAGTTCCAGGTCAGTCCAGACAATTTAGGGAGTGCGGCCTGGACTACAGACCAAGACCCTGTCTCAAACGTACACACACAAACACCACCACCTCCACCTCCACCAACAGTAAAATAAGACAATCCCTTTTCTGAGATGCTTGTGATTATTCACCGAACTGCTCCACACCACCAGGTGCAACAAAAAGAATGCCAGGAAACCTGAGAACATTCAGCACCAGGAGGCTGGCTGAATCGAGTCTCCATTCTCTAAACCCTGACACTGATGCTTGGGAAACAAAGGCATCAATGGGGGCCTGGTGACTATTCCGACTCTGTCCTCTCATCTCCCAGATACAGCTCAGGCTAACACAAACCACTCAGTCAACAAGATTCCTCCCTGACCACCAAACCCGTGAGATCGTCTGACTGAGCGTGGCATGAGCCCGAGTTCTTCACGGTCATGCTGGGGGATGTGAGAGTCCCTGTAGGACCTGGATGGGCTACAAGAGGAGGCTGCTGTGGGTTGCGCGGGAGACGTAAACCTCTCACACATGGACACTTTAGGACAGTGATGGTGAACCTGTGGCAGCCTCGCTGCAGCAGGCATGCAGAGCCCTCCCTGTCGGCACACGAGCCAAGCCGCCTCTGCAGGGCCCCAGCAGTCGAGCGCTGGATAATAGTGCACAAAAACACACTAACTGCCAACTTTTACTTTTCAATAAAAAGCTGTTGGTATCAGTGAGAGCTATTATTGTTTTTCTTTTAAGACAATTTAATGTATGAATTGTTTTTTCTAAGCTAAAACCTCAGTGTTCAGGTTTCGTTGCAGTGCTGGCCTCTGTGATTGAATAAGTGAGTTCTGGTTTATAGTTTGGGTGCTTGCCATCAGTGCCTTGAGATAAAAGGCAGTTTTGGAAAACTGATGAGGTCTCTTTGTAAGAAAGGGTGGAGAAGGCCTGAGGACGTAAGGTTACACAAAGTCCCAGACCTCTAAATGGGTCTGGATGAAGCACAGATCTTGGGTAGAGGAAGTCAGTAATGCAAACTATAGGTGGAAGTTTTCTGTACTTAAAAAGGTGCCCGAAGGGATATTTATTTATTTATTTTGTTTTTTTGAGACAGAGTCTCACTATGTAGTTTAGGCTGGCCTTGAACTTGTGGCAATCCTCCTGCCTCAGCCTCCTAAGTGCTGGGATTACAGGGGTGCGCCACACTTGGGTTTTTTTTTTTTCCCCTGAATGAATATTTTAGAACATGAAGATATTTAGAGAGGAGTACATCCATATCTTTTTTTTTAGTACATTCATATCTATATAACCACTGGAAAACCAGGCCATTCTCTAAGAGCTCGGTCACAAAAGGCTTAGAGACATGTAAGATTTGCTAAAGGTCAAACAGTGACAATAGAAAAGAAGAAGGCTCAAGGTTTCTTGCTTAGAGTTAAGGACAATGGCACTACCAACAAAAGTGGTGGTATGGGAATGGTTTTTTGTTTTGTCTTACTTTTGGTACCAGAAATTGAACTCAGAGCCTCACACCTGCCAGGCAGGTGCTGTGCTACTGAGCTACACACCTGGCCTGAAGTACGGGAATGGAAGCCAGGGATCTTGGAGAGCAGTAGAAGGGCATGACTCTGGATATGTGTCTGCTTGTGCAAAGGTCAGCAATAAGGAATGGATCCAGAAAACTCCATCCATGTGTGGAGACTGCTGAACTATTCCCACGCGGTCAGCTGAGCTCAGAAGGGTGCAGGCAAGAAGGGCCCCACTCGCTTCACTACGGCAAGGACGGACTTAGCCGCAAGATTCGGCAGTTATTTTGAGGAGAACCATGTTCTCAGGCCACCTCAGAACACCGCTGCTGGCCCCTCTCTACCCTCACTTGCTCCTCCAGGGTAGTGCAGCTCATGTGGCAGCTGAGTGTGGGAGAAAGCTGAACACACCAGCTTCCCAGAGGGCTGTTCCGGAGCACGCCTGGCTCTGCCACCGAAAAGGAAGACCAACACTCCCAGGTGTATGGTGGAGAAGCGGTACGTCTAGATCTGAGGCTGCGGGCAGCAAGGTCTTCGTGCCACACAGCTAAGGCCAGAATCTAAAATCAGCTTTACTGGCAGCAAGGCCAACATCTGGCCTGACTTCTATCTTCCTACTGTTCTCAAATGAGGAGGCATTAAGTGCGTTATTCCACAAGGGACCAAAATATCCAAGGAAGTGTGTTTCAGATGGAGACATGTGGGAGCTACATACTAATTCAGAACTCATTTTTGGTGAGTAAAAAAACCCAAAACACTATTTCAGGAAGCGCTTTTGATAAGTGTTCCAGGAAAAGGACTCTGGAAGCATCATCCCAAGTGTCTGATGAAACCCCAGCAGAACCCCAATACTCCAACGGTAGAAGTTCTTGTACCTCCACGCCACTGTCCATAGTCCTGTCAAAAAGGGGCTGTCCATTCCCCAAGCCCAGCAAGAGTCCGCGCTCTCAGGGGCAGCCTTGTCTTTCTGCAGCTCTCCTGAGACACACCCAACTCCCACCCTACCACCGCCACCAGGGAAGACTATGCCTTGGGTGGCACCGAAGCCATGCCTTAGAGGGCATTACATCATCATTTCAGAGCCACGTCCTCCATGAAGCTGATGCCTGAGAGCCTCTTTTTTCTTCGGGGCCTATCTCAGTATGGTCTGAGAGGATGTGAAGGGAAAACGGTTCAACCGATGAGTAGTTGGCTTTAGCTTGCTATCAGATTACTGGCGTGTACAATGGGTGAACCATACTAAATCCTGCATGAGCCCGGCGTGGTGGTGCACGCCTGTAATCCCAGCACTCGGGAGGCTAAGGCAGGAGGATCGCTGTGAGTTCAAGACCAGCCTGGGCTACATAGTGAGTTCCCGGTCAGTCTCAACTACATAGTGAGACCCTGTCTCAAAAAACCAAAAAAAAAAAAAGTAAATAAAATAAAATCAATCAATCAATCAATCAATCCTGCATGAGCCCTTGTTTCCACAGGCACCTGGAGGCCATGCTGTATCCCCAGCTGCACTCATGACACCAAATCCTCCTAACGTTTCCTGAAGACGAAGTGGACTGGATCTTACCTTGCCTCCTGTAGGACTGCGGACAGCAAAGCAGAAAAGGGTGGACGGCTTGGGATTCCCCTCGATCTTGAACTCTGCAAAAGCAGCAGCATGGCCTTCTATGGGCTGTGAGACTTTCCTCTCCACAGAGTACAGCTGCATTGTCCCAGCCACATGGTTTTGCTGAGAAAAGATATTTTGTGATTAATGGAAGAAAAACAAACCAATTCCTAAGCATGATAACAGAGTTTGATATGGAAATATGGCTACAAATAAACCACAAGCCTACAAAATAGTAAGATATACGATCCTAATATGTTAAACACAATCTCTGTGTGTATTTTGTCAACAAAAGTACGTCTTGGGAAGAAAGATTCCAAAATGTCAATAGTAATCCAATTAGGATAATGACTTACAGGATAATTTTAAAATCTTCGATGCATAAATAGCAAAAATTCAATACAATAAAAAACAGGCTGGGGGCCAGAGATTCAGCTCAGTGGTTCTGCTGCCTGCCTCGCAAGAGCAAGGACCCGAGTTGGATGCCTGGTACCCACCCCAAAAGAAAACATTAGGGAGAAATGAGTGACTTGCAGGTAAATGGTACTGTAACAGAATGAACAAGAATATTTTATCTTAGTTTTGCTTTTTTTTTTTGAGACAGGGTCTCCCAAAGTAGCTCAGGCTGGCCTTCAATTCACTATGTAGGCCAGGCTGGCCTTGAACATGCAGATTGTCCTGCCTCAGCTTCTCAAGTGCTGGGATTACAGGCATGAGTCACCACACCCAGGGAACAAGGATACTTAAAAATGAAATTCAAAAGGACAGGATGGGGCCAGGGACTTAGCTCAGTGGTGCCACCTGCCTTGCAAGCGCAAGGTCCTGAGTTCAATCCCTGGTACTAAATAAATAAATAAATAAATATAGATTAAAAATAAAAGGGACAGGAGAGAACTTGTGCTCCCCTCTTCAGTAACATTTGCTAAACTGAAGCCAAGAGAAGAGGCAAAGCAGAGTGAACACCTGTATCAAAGTTGGGTAAAGACGTGCTGAGGACTACAGCAAGTAAGGATTCAAATGCACGCATCCTTTCCTTAGCTAGGCACTTCCCTTGGGAGCTGAGAATAAATGAAATGATACAGGCGACAGGAAAAGCAGCTTTTTTTATCCTGGTACTGGGGATCGAACTCAGGACCTTGCACTTGTAAGACAAGCGTGGCACCACTGAGCTAAATGGCGAGTCCCAAAAGAGGTAATAAGGGAAAAGAAAAAAATATGAGAAAATGAAAAAATGGAAATAAAGTCTTTGTAAATAGGGAAGGGAGGGCAGGGACAAGGGGAAAAAATGAGAACCCAGACCTGTCACGTAAAGGTACAAGATCCCAATGATGACTGTAACTGTACTGTATACCTAAAAGTACCAATAAACAATGAAAAAAAATAAAATAAAATGTTTTAAATAGTTGTAAAAAAAAAAGGAGGCAATTTAAAACAGAAGCTTATTGGGCTGGGGGTTTATTTAGCTCAGCAGTGCTGTGCCCTGCCTGCCTTGCAAGTGCAAGGTCCTGAGAGTTCGATCCCTGGTACCAAAACAAAACAGATCAGAGGAGGGAAGGGAGGGAAAGCTGATTGGAAAAAGCTGTGTTATGTACATGTACACGCGCCCCACGATGACTATAAGCTGCATGTGCTATAAATTTGTACTAAAAAACAAAAACAAGGTTAGAGAAGAACTGGCAAGGTATGGTCTCAAGTCTCAAGTTCCCATCTCTCTCTCTTTTTTTTTTGTTACCAGGGATCGAACTCAGGACCTTGCGCTTGTAAGGCAGGTGCAGTGGTGCTGAGCTACATCCCCTTTCTATGTTGAGTGCAGCTAACACTTTTACATGGTTCTAAAACATCCTTCATCCAAATGTCATCCTTGTGCCCAATGAACAGTTCCCATAGTTACTGCCAACTACAAATTCATCTCTACAGATTTACCTGTTTTAAATATTTAATATAAATGAAATCATGAGTCTTTCGTGTCCCATTTCTTTCACTTAGGTTTCTCCATGCTGTAGCATATATCAGGACTTTATTCCTTTCTAGGGGTGCGTGTATAAGCCATGTTTTATTTATTCATTCATCCACCACTGAACATTTGGGTACCTATTTCTAACATCTGGCTGTCATGACTAGCACTGCTATAAACATCAGATATAAAAGTTTTCGTCTGAACACATTTTAACTTCTCTTGGTTGGATACCTAGCAGTGTGTCATACAGAAACCGAGGGTGCACCAAAAACTGCTTTCCACTCTGGCTGAGCATTTCACATTCATAACACTGCTGTACGAAGGGTCGTTTCTTCACCTTCTTGCCCACCCTGATGACCTTCCCTTATGATTACAGCCACCCTAGTTGGTGTGAAATGACATTCCACTGCGATTTTGATTTGTATTTCCCTAACAACTAGCGCAACAGTTTGGAGGCTTGATGTCCAACACATCAGTGTTCGAGGTGGGGTCTAGAGAGGTGACTGGGTCGTGAAGTACACACCTCATCAACAGACTGGTCCAGGGGCGGGGACTTAGCTCAGTGGTTCCGCCGCCCACCTTGCAAGCACGAGGACCCGAGTTCGATCCCTGGCACCAAAACAAAAACAAAAACAAAAACAAAAGCAGACTGACCCACTGATGAGTTTCCAGCAGAATGGATATTAGGAGGTGGAAGAAGCAGGCCATGGAGGTGAGGCTCTGAAGGGTGTTATCTTTTCAAAACTCAACTGGCAAGGTGCAAACTCCCTACATGGGTATTATCATTGCTATGCCTAAAATGTACCAATAAATGCTTTGCTATAAAAAAAGATAAAGGAAACAGAAGCAAATAAAAGTATATCAAAGCAGACCCAAAAAAGGAACATTCTAAACCAAAAAAAAATCAACTGATGATAGATACATGGGTTTCTCCCTGGACTAATTATTCTCTATTAGTCTTCGTGTCTATCCTTATATGGGAGTTTCTGTTGTCCAATGAGTAGAATTTCATCTCTTGGTGTTTAGTTTGTTGGTAAAGCATACATAAGCAGTTTTGTGATTTATAGTCATTTTTATTTATATTTATATTTTTACTTTTTTGAACCAGGGTCTCACTATGTAGTTGAGACTGACCTGGAACTCACTATGTAGCCCAGGCTGGTCTCGAACTCACAGCGATCCTCCTGCCTCAGCCTCCTGAGTGCTAGGACTATAGGCGAGTGCCACCACGCCCGGCTATATTTTTCAAATATGATGATTTCCTTGTAGACAGGCATGACTCCAAAGGGTATTTCAAACAGCTTCATTCATATATAATTCATATATCAAACAACTCATTCATTTAAACATAAAATTCAATTCTTTGATATATTTGGTTGTGAAACCATTGCTACAATGTAAGTTTAGAATACTTTCTTTAAAATGAGCTTCAATAGCAATCTCCATTCCCAAGTCTCATACTCCACAAAGTTCTGAGCAACTTTCTGCTCTACTGATTGGATTATTCTGATCATTTCTCATAAATGAAATCAAACAATACATGGTCCTTTATGACTCCTTTCAATATTCCCAAGGCTCGCTCATATTAGGTATTAGTATTTCACTTTATTGCCAAACTACTATCTCACTGTATAGATACCATTTTATCTGCTCTTTAGCTAGACATTTAGATTGCTTCCACTTTTTCACTATTATAACTCATGTTGACATGCACATTTTTGTATGTTTGTAGTAACAACTTTTAGCTTAAAGTCTACTTTATCGGATATATATATATATATATATATACACATACTTTTTAGGGGGTGGATCAGGGACTGGACCCAGGGCCTTCACAATCAGCTACATCTCCAGCATCCCCCTTAAAATTTTGAGACTGGGTCTCACTAGATCACTTAGTTGCCGAGGGCAGGCTGATTTGCACATCCTCCTGCATTAGCTTTCCAGAGAGCTGGGATTAGAGGTGTGAGCCAACATACCCAGGTAAATTCTGTGTTTTCTAGTAGCTCATAATTTATTTTCATTTACTTCTTCATCACCACCTTTCTGTCAAACAGCTATACTGTAGATTGCCATTGTAATTTTCTTGTTATTTCCTTTAGCATTTTCTTGGGGGGAGGCTTTTTTTTTTTTTTTTGCTAGTCTTCTGTGAGAACAAATTAATAAAGTGAAATAAAGAGCTTAAAAATTCAAATGTTCAGCCAGGCGTGGTGGCACACACCTGCAATCCCAGCACTCAGGAGGCTGAGGCAGGAGGATCGCTGTGAGTTCCAGGCCAAACTGGGCTACATAGTGAGTTCCAGGTCAGTCTCAAAAAACAAAACAACAACAACAAAAACAAGAAAACAGGTTCTTAACTTTATGGGAGACATACACCAACAATGACTCAATGAGCTATTATAAACTGATCACATTGACGTTTAAGCTCTAAATACATTATAAAATGTTTATATTGGTTGAGTTCTAAATATGCTATTGTGATTTATCTACATTGGTCATCTTCAAAAGATTAGTTTCTCTGGCATAATCAAAAAGGTGTTATTAGAAAGATCCTTTTGGCACCAAACTACACTGAAAGATATAAGGTTTTATATAATTGTGATACTTATTACTGCTTTTTCTGGTATACAAAATGTACTCATGCTCTCTAATTGTACAGGTCTTCCAACATATTGTTTGTGGTAATAACCTTTTGATTCAGACATTTGCCTTTCTCTTATGCTCCAGCCACCTATGATAATAGGCACACTTGTGGGCTGATATATTTTCCTTAGGTGACATCCTGTCAAATATAGCTACTTAGGTAAAAGCTTTTATTCATGCATTTTGGGGAGGAGTGAGGATGTTTAACAATGGCTATTTTATACTAAGCTACACATTTAGGTGTACTACAAAGATAATATCATGATTGTCACGCTAAAATACTATGTGTAGTCCATGATTCAAAATCTTTTTCTGTTAACATTCTACAGGGGTTCAACCATAAACCACAAACCATAGAACAACCATGACTGGCAATTATAATGGTCTCTTAACTATATTTTTACTCAAATGCTTAATATCCAGGTAAAATTATATAGTGGAGTTCCTACTCTTATTATTATGCTAATGTTACTGAAATTGTCTTTTGGGTGTTCAACAACTAAAATTTAGAGACCAGAACTAGCAAGGGCTAAGAAGGTCAACAACTACAACAAAATCCTTTAAATTATATCAAAAATCTCAGCAGGTCAAGTAGGAAGATAAACTGTCAGTTGTCTTAGTTACTTTTCTCACTGCTGAGATAAAATACCTGATACCTAAAGTCAAAGGAGAAAAGGTTTATTGTAATTCAGTTTGTAGAGGTTTCAGTTCATAGTTGGCTGGAGAGAATGGCAGAGGGGAACTGCGGAGGAGAAAAACATTTCATGGCAGGCAGAAGGCAGAAAGGCAGCAAAGTAGCAAAGCAATAACAAGTGACAAGGAAGGACCTTCTTTCTGTCTCTTATATCTTATCCAGACTACTCACCCTTAAGGCAAGTAGCACTCACACCCAGGGTAGGACAGCCTTAACCCCAGTATCCTACCATCAATCAATCCCAACATCACATCCTTGACCCCAGCAGCACACACCCTAGATCCAGCCACTTCTAAAAAGCTCTCTGTGACTGCATGAGGCATTTAGATAAAAGCCATAATATCAGTACATTACAAAATGTGACAGATTAGAGATACTCCAACTTTCTTTTACCTATGCTCACTCTATGAGCCAAATGTCAGGCCATCAGCCAACTCTCTCCAAAACACACTCAGTATATGAGCAACTCCAAGCCATTTCACCTGCAAATACTCAAGTCTTCCCTCTCTTGGACATTTCCAATGCTCCTGTCTCCATCTAAGTATCTCTTTTCTTGGGCAAGGTGTGGGGGTGGGGATGGTTTGAGGATAGACGAAACTCTCAGAGTGAAGAGAAATATTCCTTCCCTCTTCCCTGGTTATCACCTTTCTCATACATATCTCTACACTAGTACACACTATATAGCTTTATTCTTATACCTGCCTTCCAACCACTCACCCAGCCTTCAGCTCATCCTCAGCATCACTGATGGCCGTATTTTCACTTCATAGCACTGCCAAGAGGGTTAGTTAATTATATCACTCTCACTTAGAATCAGCTATAGAACTGCTATTGCCTGAAAATAAGAGCATGTACCTCACTCTGGGACTGATCCATCTCTCCAGCAGTTTTCTACTCTACTGCCACTTATGGACCCTACAGACATCAAAAATAGTTGATGATCCTACACTCCTAGAAAGAGCCATTCTCCTTCATTTCCATGCCTTTACACATATTGTTCCCTTTCAAAGTACACTTACATAGCAGGCAAAATGTGCCTTTCTGCGTAAGCCCTTCCTGACAAAAGGTGTTCTCTCATGGCTCCCAGTTTTCTATCCCAACCTTTGAAAATTCTCTAAGTACAAGAATTCTGCAAGACATATCTTCCATTTACAGATGATTCTATGCTCAGGACTAGCCAATAAAGAGCTGTATGTCTAATACAAAACATCCTGTAGGCCTCAAGTATCTAGTGACTTGATTGGCCATGAGGAATAAAAAAGGAGAGACTGAGGGCTTGGTATTTAGCTCAGTTGTTCTGCTGCCTGCCTCGCAAACGCAAGGACCCAGGTTTGATCCCTGGTACCAAGGGGGCGGTGTTGAAAAATACTTTTATTAGAAATGGACATGAATTAGTGATAGTCCTCTGAGTTAAAATAGAGCCTAGAAAATACTTTTTATAGATCCATAATCTAAATTGTTCTAAAAATTATACTCAACAATTTATTTCTCAAAACTTCCAGAGGGCCAGAGATTTAACTCAGTCGTTCTACCACCTGCCTTACAAGCACAAGGTCCTGAATTTGATCCCTGGTACCAAAAAAACAAAAACAAAAACAAACAAACAAAAAAACCAAACCTCTGCCAGAAAGTTTATAAAATGAACATCAGTAACCTAACAGAATATAGTAAAGGGACAAAGCTGAATTAAAATAATTTGATCCAAAGTTTAGATTACTTTGTAATGTCTATTTCTTTCAGTCACACACCTGACTTCTGTCTTTACAAACTTTAAACCGAACCATTCCATTCTAGCATTAGGCCTTATGCGTTACACCTGATCAGTCTGTGAAGCTTACCTGGGCAGAGATGCCAATGAGAAGCAGCCACTTCTGGTAGGCATCAGTTCGGTAGTGGACCAACTGACATCCGGCCAGACTGGCGTGTCTATCAAACATCTTTATGGGCTGGGAGTCACCTTCCATGCTCCAGTGGTACACTGTGGTATCGGTCACCAAGGCAACAGTGTTCACAGAGATCCACTTCCAGAAAATCACCTCTTCTGCCATAGTATAAGTCTTCATTTTACTTTTCATCTCAATATTAAAGATTTGAAGTGTCTTCCCAGCTAGTATTTGATGAGATGGACAATAGAGAAAAATAGATAAAAATTTGAAAGACAAATTCTTATACTCTTAATTCTGAATCCTATTAATATTACTTTAAGTCATACTACTTATTTAGGGTTTTTGCTGATTTGGTTTTTTTTTTTTTTTGAGACAAGGCAAGGTCTCACTCTGTAGTTCAGGTTATTCACTATGTGGCCCAGGCTGGCCTCAAACTCGAGGTGATCCTCCTGCCTCAGCCTCCAAGTGCTGGGATTACAGGCATGTACCACAACAAACTGTAATATTTAAAGCCAATTTGGTTACAAGAAAAAAGGCTGAGTACTAAATAACTGTACTCTGATGTTTAAATAGTAAGAACCTTCCATGTATTAGCTCTTCTTTAGAAGAATGAAAAAGTACAGAAATATTTATAGATTATGAAAAAAACAATCAGAAATCAGTTCTACTCAAGCCTTAAGAGAGACAGTTTTAGATTTCTTTCTTTTAGATTCTGTTATTCTGTGGCACTGGGAATTGAACACCAGGCCTTCACACCGAACTATATGTCTAACCATCTCATATACATAGGTACATGTGTGTGTGTGTTTTAATACCAAGGATCCAACTCAGGACCTTAAGCTTATGAGGCAGGCGCAGTGTCGCTGAGCTACACCCCCGGCCCTTTATTTTATATTTTTGAGAGAGGAATTTGCTAAGTTGCCCAGGCAGGGATTGAACTTGTGATGTTCCTGCCTCAGCCTACCAAGCAGCTGAGATTATCAGAATATACCACCACAGCTGGCTTTGGTTCCTTCTAGTTTCAAATTATTTTCTAGGGGTGGAGAAGTAGCCCATGGTAGAGTACATGCTGAATATGGAAGTGGCCCAAGCTTCAATCTCTGGTGGCAAAAAAACAAAAAAAATCACATCTCTGTGTAAATTACTGAAATATATAAAACATTCCTTTTCTGGTGATGTTGGAGATTGAATCCAGAGCATTGTGCATGGTAGAAAAGTACTGAGCAACACTCCAGCATATCCATTCTTGTTCTGGTGTCTCTAACTTTCAGGAAAAAACACAATCATCCTTTCCAGTTAAACTAACCTCTCCATATAACAGAGCTACTTTGTTTAAAATTCTAGACCAGTGCTAGTTTTTTTGTCTGTTTTTTGGTTTGCTGAGATAGGGTCTTGCTATGTAGGCTCAGGTTGGCCTTACACTCATTAAGTAGCCAAGAATAGCCTTGAACTCCTGTCAATCCTTTTGCCTCGGCCTCCCAAGTGCTGGGATTACAGGCATACATCACCACACTCTGCTAGACCAGCACTATCAAATAAAATTCGTAAAATTGAATATTTGCACTATCACAGTGACATTTTATATATATATATACACACATAAATACATATAATATATATGTGAAATGTATGTAGCAATACACATTTCAGGAACTGAGTTTTACTTTTATTTAACTTTAATGCAAAACTTAGAGTTAATATGAAATACTGCTTCGTCCTGGGCTTGTTCCAGTGGCACATAACTAAAACTGGAATGATACAGAGGGAATTAGCATAACACACAAATTTCTGTTTGCTTTTTTGTTGTTGGTGTTACCGGAGATCGAACTTGGGACCTTGTGCTTGTGAGGCAGGTGGCAGAACCACTGAGCTAAATCCTGGCCCCAAATTTCTGGATTTTTAAAAAATATACCGTGTCCCCCTAAGATCAATACAAGGTGGGGATTATTTCTCTGGCTACTTCTTTTGACACCTAATACTAGATATAATAGTCACAAAAAAAAAAAAAAGAAAAAGAAAAAGAAAAGAAAGAAAGAAAAGTAAAATGCAGACTTTTTTTTTTTTTGGTACCGGGGATAGAACTCTCAGATCCTTGAGCTTGTAAGGCAGGTGGCAGAATCACTGAGCTAAATCTCCAGTCTGCAGAAAGATTTTTTAAAATAAGCAGCGGTAGAAAAGGATTAAAATTGGTGAAGTAAAGACAAGCAGAAAATATAGCTTCTGTGGGACCTGTAATCAAAATACCTAGAAAACAAGCTGGTGAAGAATAAAAGATGTAGATCCCTGGGAACCAGGAGAGTGAAAACAGGAAAATTAGAAACTACAGAGAAGCTGAAAGAATGGAGCACAACACAGAGAAAAGCATAAAGCAGCCTGGACAGCTAACCAGCTCCTGGAGAGGAGGACCTGCCTCTGCTAATACGGTAAGCCTGGCGAGGGTGGGCAGCTCTAGGGAGAAACAACAGACTAGGCCAGCAACAGCAGCCCCAAGAAAAGTTGATGGTTATTGTGAACTGCACAATCAATGGAGGGTTCTATTCTGAAAGTAAGCTGCTTCCCCATGGCAGGCTAAATTTGAGAAGAAATCTAGTGAAGAAGCCACATATTTGAGAATGTTTGATCAGGTGCCATTTTGGGAAAGGGTTAAATGTTAAGGCTGAACGACAGAACGACCACAAAACATCTACAGGCTTTCTGGAGTCACCCTGCCACAGTGACCGGGTGGGAGACAGCCATAAGAGACAGCCATAGAGAGAGCACAGGGTAGCCACAGACCCCCTAGATGTTTAAGCTCAGGCGGGTAATGACACAGGGGTCCTACCCTCTGTGGTGAGAGGCCAGGCCAGTTGTGTGGCTGGGTCTGAAAGTACTAGCATTAAGTCCAGCAGACTGCTTGAACTCCCGCCCCATTGTCTACATCCAGCATAGAGCTCAGTCGTCTGTTTCTTCTACCCCATCTGCCAACATGATCAGATATACACCTCCGTTTGGACAGAGAGAATTCACAAATTCACAAACTGTAGAGCTAAGCAAACAAAGAAAGGGACACAGAAATTAGGAGCAGCTGGAGGGAATATAGCCCTAGCGCAGACACATCGACTAACTACACCCAGCAGGGAAAGGCAAGGTAGAATTCAGCATTCATACAGTAAAACTGGAGCATGGAAACAGAAGACTTAGCAGTGACTTAGTGTCTCCCATATCTGTTGGACTCCAATACAACAAATCTTAGGAAAGAAATCACTCATTCAAAAACACGGAAGAACTTTTTGGACTCACTTCTCTTTTTATTGTTTTTTTCCCCCTTATTTTGCTCTGTTTTTTCTTTTTTCTTCTAATTCTTGACTATTCTTGTCTGATCTGACTCTTTTCTTTTGTACTGAGGATCAAACTTGGGACCCTGACGTCATAAGGCAGGCATGAAGCCAGAGCTAAACCCCCAGCTCACTCTTAATTTTCAACACAACCCTTTATCTTACTTTTCTCTCATCTTTTTTTTAAAAAATACGTCTCATTTTCCTCTCCCCCTCCTTCATATTTACTAGTAGTATATTAAGCTTTATTAATCTTTAGATACTTAGTTGACCCTATTTATATATAATGGAGTACTACTCTGCTATAAAGAAGGATAAACTTGGGCCAGGGATTTAGCTCGGTGGTTCCACTGCCTGCCTTGCAAGTGCAAAAGCCTGAGTTCAACCCCAGGTACAACAGCAACAACAACAAAAAAGGATAAACTTGAGTAATTTGTAGGAAAATGGATGCACTCTGAGACTATATTAATGAGTAAAATAAATCAGACCCAAAATAGAAATAAAGAGCAAAATAAAAGATAATAAGAAACAGAGAGATGTATCTCTTGCAAAAGACAAGGGGACCAAGAGAGGGATGCGAAGGCGAGGGAGTGGAGAAGGGGTGAGAAAAGAATTAAGATGTGTGTACAGGTACCAAGTCCTTATGAGGAATTAGTCATTATGACTACAAACACATAGCAATACAAGGGTGCAACCGGAAAAAGAAATACCAAGTAATTCGCTAAAAACTGTAAGAACTAGTAAATTTAAGAAGTGCACAGAATAGGAATACACAAAATTAATATTTCTATATACTAACAATCCAAAGTTACGAAAGCAATTCTCTCTGTAATATAGAAAACAAATGACTTAGAAATAGCGTGGTTAAAAAAAAAATAGAAATATTGTGGTGGACTAATGGTGAACGTGAGTGGAAAAGCCCAGCTGAAATGAGTCAGTGTGGTTCTGGGCATGGAAGACTCACCTGAGGATTGCTGCCCGAAAAGCATAAAAGGAGGACAGGAGGGAAAAACTGCATGCTGCTGATTTCCCAGGAGAAGCTCTGTTGCCCCTGGTTTTCCTGATACAAACTCAGTTGTTTTTGTCTTTGGAGGAGCTTGGGTTCTCCCTGTTATGGAGGTGACTGCTGCTCTCCTCCAGGGTAGCGCTGGTCTTTACCTTTGTTTTGAGCATCACTTCCTGGCTTCTGGCACAGATTCTTCACCCACTGGCGCGGACTTTCTAACTTCCACCACTGGTCCGCGTGCCTTTTTGGGGCAGATCCTTGAGGCGGACTTGCATGAAACATTATCATGGGATCCAGGCCCTCAGCTGGATTCTTCAGGTCTCTGGTGTGGATGAATCTCTTGTGCTTTTATGCATTTGGCTTTTTGGGTGAATACTGTAAAATAATCCTTTAAATTTATGGGTCCTGTATTAAATCTATTCCTTTGCTGACTATTTTATCCTGACTACAACAAATATATTTAACAAAATAAGTGAGGATTGATACACTGATGTGAAAAACACAACTAAAAGAGTTAAATAAACAAATGTTGAATGTCTAGAAGACTCAATCCTGCCAACACAGTGACTCCTGCCAAATTAATCAATAATATCCAATCCATCCTATCAAATTTTTGGTAGGCTTTTTGTAAAAATTGACCAATTCTAACCTTTATGTGAAAATAGGAAGGCTCTACCAAGTTGAAGTACCAATACTGACTTCAAAGTTTCTAGTGAGCCCCAAAAGTAATCAATCAAGAACAAATGAATGGAGAATTGGAAATTAACAACAAAGAAAGAAAAGAAAAGAAATCCTCTTTATATTTGTGGTCAATTTTTACCAAAGGTGCCATGAACATCCACATGTAAGGACAGAACTTTCAACAAATGATGCTGGGACAACTGCACAGAAATGCCTCGGT